TAATAATAATTATAATCAATTTTATTTTCTAAATTATAATTATAATAATAATAATAATAATAATAATAATAATAATAATAATAATATTAATAATTATAGTAATAATAATATTTATAATCATAATAATAATAATTTATTCTTCCTTTACAAATATAAAGTTAATTATAATATTAATAAAATAATGATTTATAGCCTTTTAATTAAGTATAATAATTTCCTGAATTATAAAAAACTATGAATTATGATACATTATAACCATAAAATATCAATAAATAATAGAATTTTCTTATTTAACCTATGGAGAATTAGTTATAATAAAAAGGAATTTTTTAATAAGATTTTAATTTTAAATAAGGAAATGTTTTATAAGAAAAATAGTAAAATAAAATATTAGAAACATCACATTTATAATATAATAATAGTATTTAAAATAATATTTAAAATTAAGAAAATTTTAATAATTTCTAATTTTAATAAAAATCATAAAAATAATAATAGTCAAAAATTGATAGTTTGAGTTTAGAAGAAAGAATCTAATAAGCTTTGGAAAAAAGTAAATAAACTAAATTAAGAAACTAAATTGTTAATAATATTATAAATGAATCTTAATGAACTTTTATATAATATCTTTGGCATTTAAAAATAAATATTAATATAATTATTATATATACTTATTATATTTAATCTATAAAAATAAATATTATAATTATTTAATAAAATTAAAATATATATTTACATATTTCTAATATATATAATATTATTTATTAAAGAAAAAAAATTATTTTTACATATATTTTTAAATATAGAAAAAAGTAAATATATATACATATAATTATTGTATTTAAATAAATATTAAATAATTTATAAATATAAGAATATATAATAATATTCCGATTTTTTAATTTCCTTATTTTATTATAGTATCTAATGAAATAGATATGTTATAATATTTATTTTACACACTTTTACTATTTTAATTATATTATATTTTTTTATTATTCATTTTTCTATTTATATATTATTTAATATCTTATTAATTATATTAGAATTTACATTTTATATTTTCGCATTTGTTAATTATTTCATTTAATTTTTGAATTTCTTTTTATTGTTATAAAAAAAACTAATTTAGTAGTTTAAAAATATGTCATTTTATTTTCCTTTGTTTTTTGATTTAAAATTCTTATAGAACTTTATTTTTTATTTTTGTAATTATCATTATAAATAGTCAGTTTATACCTTAATATTGTTATTATGATATTTCATAATTTCTATTTAAATTTTAATTCAGAAAAAAAAATTAATTACTAGATTATTATTTGCGCTTTATTAAATAAATTTGTATTATTATTATAATTATTTAAGATAATGTTTTTTATATTATAACATTAAAATTTTAAAAAGCTTTAAATGAAATATTTTTAGTATATTCTTTATATAAATTATAAAAACTTTATTTATTTTAAAAAGCAAAATTAAAAATATATATTTAATATAAGAAAAAGACTAATATAAATTAATTACTCATTTAAAAATTTCAATAAAACTGATAAAAATTATTTTATATATGGAATAAGATAAAATTAAAATATTAATATAATTATAAATAATCTTTAAAACATTAATTTATTTTAATTGATTAGAGGTTTATTATATATTATATTTAATAATATTTACAATTCTGTTTATTTTTTCTAAAATATATAAAATTTTATTTTTAAATTTAATATTATTTTATTTTTGAAATTGTATATTATAATTATTATTATTAAATTTTAATAAAAATATATATTTAAAATAAAAAATTTACTATATAATATCTTAAATAATATATAAAAATATTTATATATTTATATATATATATATATGTATTTATGTATATATAATCAACACATATTTATATATATTTTTAAAATATAATAATAGAATATTTTTATTTATATATGTTCTTTTTTTATATTAAAAATATGTTGTAAAGGCAAGGACGCACACGGTTGCATTCGAATATCCTAGTTTGAAAAAATGAGGTTCGACTCATCACCTAGACCTCTAATATTTTTATTATAATTATTTATATAAATATTAATTTTAAATATTTTATAATATTATATTTATAAAAATTATTTTTATAATAGATTTTAATATTATAATAATTGATTTACTTTAAAATATTTTTATTAAATTTATTAAAATTATATATAAATGATTTATTTTAAATTTTAATAAAAATGGATATTATAGTATATCATAAATATATGTTATATAATTTGAATATTTAATTTGCTGCATCATATATATTATTACTTTTTAATAATTTTAAAAAAAGAATATTATATAAATTTATTTTTTAGTATATATTATATTAAAAAAAATATAAGATTTATATATATATTATTTATATTTAAAATTATATAAAAGGCTGTGACGCACACGGGTGCATTCAAAATTCCTAACTTTGAAAAAAATTAATTGAGGTTCGACTCCTCACAGAGCCCCCAATTTTTTAATTAAAAAATATTTTTACTAAAATTGCAAAAATTTATTATTTTTACTATATAAATAAAACATATGTAAATGAAAATTTATTTAATATTTGTATATTTTTAAAAATAAAATAAAATGTTATATATATATATATATATTTATTAATAATTATATTCTCTATATTATACTTTCTTTATTTATTTTTATTGTTTTTTTAATAAATAAATATATAAACTTAATCATTTATTTAATTAAACAAAAAAGATACAAATTGTTTTAAAATATAATAAAATTAATTAATTATTATTAATAATTTTTTTGAAAATAGTAATATATATAATATATTTATAAAATATTTCTTAAACAATAAATATATTTTATAAAAACAACATATATAATTTCAATTAATATTATATATATTTTATTTTAAAAATTATTTTATATACATAATTTTTTTTTTTTTTTTATTACATTTATTATTATAAAAATATAAGTTATATATAATATATTTTATCTTAATAATAATATAAAAGGCTGGGACGCACACGGGTGCATTCAAATTGCCAACCTTGAATAAAATTGAGGTTCGACTCCTCACTTGGCCCCCAATTTTTATTTTTTTATTAAAATATATATTTAATTAATAATTTTTTTTTTAAATATTATTATTATTATTAATATATTAATTTTAAATTTATTTTTAAAATTTAATTTTTCTACTTATATTATAATATTAAAAATTATTTTATATAATTTTAAAATAATTTATAATATTATATAAAAAATGTAAAAATATCAATATATATATATATTAATAATTACATTCTATATATTATATTTTTTTATTTTTTCTTATGTTTTTTAATAAATATATGTGTAAACATAATCATTTAAATATTTTTTTTTTAAAAAAATTTAATTATTTTACAGTAAAACTATATTATTTAATTATTAATAATATTTAATTTATAAATAGTAAAAAATTTTTCATAAACAATAAGTATATTTTATATAAACTTAAATATAATTTCAATCAATAATATGTGTAATTTTTTATATATATATATTTATTATATTTTATAATACATTAATTAATATAAAATTTAAAGGTATATACATTATATTTTATCTTAAAATTAATTAAAAGGCTGAGACGCACACGGGTGCATTCAAATTGCCAACCTTGAATAAAATTGAGGTTCGACTCCTCACTTGGCCCCCAATTTTTATTTTTTTATTAAAATATATATTTAATTAATAATTTTATTATAAATACATATATAAAATATAATATTTTTTATTAAAATTCATAAATTTAAATATTTAGTTTTTAAAATATAATAATATTATATATAATTTATTGCTGTAATTATGTAAAAAGATTTATTTAATAATATGAATAATTTTTTTTATAAATATAACTATAAATATAAGTATTAAAAACATTATTATTATTATTATTAATATTTTAATTTTAAAATTATTTTTTAAATTTAATTTTTCTACTTATATTATTAATATTTATTAAATAATAAAAATAATATTAAATTAAATAAATATAAAAAAAATATTTATTTATATATATATAAATATATTGTATATATTATATATTTTTAAAATATTTATTGATTTTGCTTTATAATTTTTTATTTTAATTTAATTAAACTAAATAATTTTTATATTTATAAATTAAATTTAATATTTATTTATTTTTTATATAAAGAGAAAAATTTGAATTATTCATTATTTATATTTTCTTAAACTTATAAATATTGTTTGTAAGTAGTAATTAATATATTTATTTTTTTTGTTATTTTTCTGACAATTTTTCTTTACAAATCAAATAATTCTTATTAAATTAATTATTTTATAAAAAATATATATTATAAATTTTGTTTTATATTATTAATTTATTTCTTAATATTTTTTTATATATAATTAATATTAATAAAAAAAAAATATATAAAAAAAAATTATATTTAAATATTTTCATTTTTCATTCAAATTAAATAATTTGATTTAAATAAAAAAAATATTAAATATTTAATTTTATAGTATTAATAAATATATTATTTTTAAACAAATAAAAATAACATATCAATAAAACAGATAAAAAAAACATTATTATCAAAAAAAAAAAAAAAAATATGAAAAATTATTAATATAATAAGCATTAACTAGTAAAGAAAATAGTAATATATAGTTGATAAAATTAAAAATAATATAATATAAATATATATATATATATATTTATTATATTTAATTATTTTATTCTTTTTATTAAATTATTTTAATCATTTATATTTTATTACAAAATTTATCAAAATATTTTTTTTTCTTATTTGTTTAAGTATAAAATTAAGATATTAATATATTAAATTTTTTTTTAACTTATTCATATATTTATTAATATTTTATTGTATAAAATGCATATAATATATTTTAAATTATTATATTTATTAAATAATATTATTAAATATAAATATATAATATTTTTTTATATATGTATATTTTAATCATTCTTAATTAAGTATTATTTCAATTTTATCATGTTATCCTTTTAAAAGTATTTATCCTTAAAAATCTACTACACCTTATTTTTTAGCTGCTTTTAATGTACCTACTAGAGCCTTATTTTTATAATAATATATTAAATTTTAAAAAATATAAAATATTATACTTCATAATATTATTAAGCCTTTTCATCATCAAAAAGTTATCCGAAAGGAACCGAAAATTTTCCTAAGGTATTTTTTTTTCCTAATCTTTATATATCTTTTTTAAGCTCTTCTATTTCGTCATTTATTTTATCTTACATTTATTTTTAAATTTATATATAATAAAAGTAGCGGATTAAAGATAATTTTTATTTGTTAAAAAAAATAAAAAAATGAATAATTTTATTTTTATTTTATTTAAAAATAAAAATAATATGTAAAAATTTTTTAAAAAAATAAAGTATTTTTTATTTTAATTTTTTATTTTTATTTTATATTTTAAAATAAAGAAAAAAATTTTAATTTATTCTTTAAAAATAAACAAATAAATTTTATTTATATTTAAACTTTTTAAAAATAAATTTTTGATATAAATAAATAAAAATAAAATTAATGAAAATTTCTATTTTTTTCATTAGATTTTCATAGAACGAGAACCATTAACTTTACTATTATTATCTATATATAAAATAAAATATAAATATAATATATTAATAATATATATATATATATATATATTTATTTATATTTATTATATATATTTATATATATATATATATAATTTATACTCGAGTTTTTATTTTTTTGTTATTTTATAAATTAATTAGCCTCCATCTACTATTAAATTTCAAGTTCTTTTTTAACATTTTAATATTTTTAAAGTAATCTTTCAAGTTCAATTGATCTATTTTTTCTTTATTCATCTTAACCTGCTATAATTCTTTATTTTAAAGCATTTAATTCATTTTATTATTTATTTTTTAACTAATTTAACTGATTTTTAATTTTCTAATCTCTAACTTAAAGCCATTATTAATTTTCTTATTTTTCTAAATAATTTCTTTTTTCTTATACTTAATGCGCTTCAACATAGCTATATTTTTAAATATAATAAATAAATATATTTATATATTATAATATTATAAGTATTTACTTTTTTTATTTGGCTAAATTTTCTTCTATTTTCATTAGATTTAAAGCTTCAGCTGATTACTTTGGTTTATAAGGTACTACCTTTTAAAGTTCTTCTTATACTTAAATATATTCCTATTATTAACGCTAAATAAGTTCTTATTCGATTTTACTTGCTTCTTCATTAAATTCATTCATTTTTTAATCCCAAAATGCATTAAATTGATTAAATTCTTCTAAATGAGCTTTTTCGATTCCTAATTTTTCATTTATGTGTTTATTTTTTATTTCCTCTTTTCTTCTTTTTTCTAAATCTAGTTTTAATTGTTTTACTTTGTTCCTTGCTTGTTCTGCTTCTATGTATTTGCCTTATTTTTCGCAGTTTATTTAATGCTCGAATATTACTTCTATATATTCTTCTAATTCGTTAATGTTTTGGGGTTGTCTATTTAAGATTTAGGAATCGTCTTTTTGTTTTTTTTGATATTTTCTATTTATTTATTTTTTACCTTCAAATCCTTTTTAGCTCATTTTTTAATTTCTTTGTTTTGTTTATTTATTATTTATTTATATATTATTATTATTTTTTTCTTTTTTTTTTGAAACTTAAAATAATAAATATATGTAATTTTCATATATATATATATTTATCTTTATAAAGAAAGTGTATATTAAAATTCATTAATTTTTTTTATTATTTTTTAAATAAAAATTATATTATGTTTAATATTATTTTTTTTATTATTAAAAACATATTTTTATTTTTAGTTTTTTATATTTAAGTTTTTAAAAAAAATAATAATTGTATATAAAAATTTAATGTTTTATATAATTATTAATAAAATATAATATTTTTAAATTTAAAAAATAAAAAAATATATCATTATATCATTAAATAATAATAGAAATTTTATTATGTTTTTTTAAATTAATATTTAATATATAATAAATTAAAGGAAAACATATCATTTATATATATTATTAATAAATCAAATTTTTTTATTTACAAATTAAATTTCTATTATTAATTAATTTTTATTTTTTATTATTTTAAACAGAAAAAAAAAAAAAAGATAAACAAAAAAAACAAAATACTCCAAAAAATGCTTTTAAACAACAAAGAAAATATATAAAGTCAAACCCTATTATATCTTAAGAATTACTAAAAAATAAATTTAATATATTTAAATATTTTAGTAATACTAAATTTATTTTAAAATTAATGCTATACATATAGTAAAAATTAAAACAAAAATTGGTAAATCAAAAATTTAATATAAAAGAAAAATAAAAATAAAATAAAAAAGAAAAAATTTTAATTCTATGATACAAGACAAAAATTATAATATTAATTAAATAGATTAATTTAATTAAATTTAGAAAAATAAAAAAAAGTAGTATATTAAAAATAATAATAATTAGATTTAATAAAATTAAAAAATACAATATTTAAAAAAACTGAATATATTTTTATTAAGTATTTAATAAGATTTTTGGATAAGTAATTTGAAAACTTTTGTAATAATAATTATATTTTATTATAAAAATAATTGTTTTTCTTAATTATTTTTATATTATTTTTGTAATAAAATAAAAAAAAATATGTTTTATTAAGAATATTTTACAAAAAATATATTAAAAAAATAAAATTTCATAAATAATAAAATTTTATAATTAAAATTTGTAAAATATATATATATATATATTTATATATATATCTTTTTTTTTATATAATAAAAAACTAGATAGAATAAAAATTATTTTATATATTATTATTTAAAAAATACATTTTTCTATAAAATAACATATATAATAAATTATATATTTATATATATATTCTGATTTCATTATATATATAAAATCATTATTATATTTACTAACCTTATTTTTTTAAAGAATATATTAATCAATAATAAAAATGGATTAATAATAATTAATTTTATAAGAATTAGATGAAAATATTTATTGTATTTATAATAGAAAAATAATATAAAGTAATTTTTTATATAAGAAAGACCATAAACAGTCCATATTACATTAGATTTTCATAAATCTATTCCGTTCAAAATAGAATCAACAACAATAGAATTTTAAGGAAATTAAACAATATTAGATGTAAAATAAAGAGTTTTAAATAAACTGTAAAAATAATTAAGTGGAGGATAAATAGTAATAATATAATATAGAAAAAAATAACTTAACAATACTTTATTTTTATTTATTAAAAAAAAAAAAGCTTATTTTTTGTAAAGATACATTTATGCCATCTCCATTTGAAAAAATAGGAGATTTATAATAAGTAAAATATATTATTAATAAATACAGAAGATATTAATTAATTTTTCTATTTTATTTAAAAGTGTTTTGGTACTTAAGAATAAGGATTAAAAAAATTAAAATTAGTTGTTTCTAATGAAGTTGCTTGGGGATGATATTATAATATTTTATATATAAATTTTAAATAAATAATTATTAAAAATAAATATTTATATATATATATACATATATAATATATAAATAATTAGTTTAATAATATTTATTTATTTATTTATTTTTAAAAAAACCTTTTAATTTTTTTGTTTTTAAATAAAACCTAATTTTTTTTTATTTAATCATTTATAAAAAAAAAAAAAAAAAAAAAAGTATAACATAAAAAAATATTTAAAATAAAAAAATGCAAGAAATCTAATCAAAATAAAAATTATCAGCTTAAGATGGAGCTCATTTTTTTTATACTTTATCATTTTTAACAGCTACAAGTTTAATTTAAAGTAAATATGATTAATAAAAATGTGAAGTTAATTTAAATTTATTAGTAGATTTAGTATTTTATGGTTTAATTATTTGGGCTACTTATTAAATTATTACTATTTTGCCAAAGTATAATAATATAGCAATTAAAGCGTTTTTTAGGTTCATGCATATTGTATTTGCTGTTTATATGCTTAGTATTTTTATTTATGCTAATTTCTTATATTTCAGTGATAAATATACTTCATCATAATGTTAGAAATATGCTCCTATTATGTCTTATTTCTTAGTTTTGTTTTTAGTCGTGGGATATTTCATTCTTATTATTTTCATAACTTCTATTATGTCTATGATATTTAATGGATTTTCTAAATCTTATTAACATCCTTAAGAAGTTGATGAACTTTGAAACAAAATATATATATCTAATAAATTATTGTTATTTATATTTTTATTATTATTATTTTGTGAAATTTTTTTTATTTTCATGTTTTAAATTATTTACTAATTTTATTCTCTTTGTTTTCTTATATATTATTATTTTATTATTAAACAATAAATAAATAAATTTATTTTTTTAGTTAAAAGATATGAAAAACATGAAAGTAAAATAATAAAATGAATTAATGTATATAATAATAAATATAATATATAAAACAAATTATAAAATTATATATTATTAAAAAAAAATATGAAAGAAAATAAAAATAAATATTTATATATATATATATATATATATATATATATATATTTTATATATATATATATATATTATTTATATTTTCATATATATATATATATTCAAGAATTTGTTAATAAAATATAAAATTACAAATTATATTTTTATTATTTAGAAAAAAAACAAATTCATTATATGTAAAATAGTTTGTCGAATATAGTTTATTTTTAAAAGTATATAAATTATGATTTTTTTAGTTTTTAAAATTCTGATTTATCATATATAATAAAGGCTAACTATTATTAATTAAAATTGAATAAAAAAGTTTATTTAAAAAAGTAATTCAATCTTTTTTTCAAAGTAAAATTTGAGTTATAAAAATATGTATAGATTATAACTGATATTTTCTTAATATAAGTTTTTAATTTATATTAATATACTTTTATTATTCAAATTATTTTTATTTATATAAAAAGTGGAGATATAATTTTTACAATAAATAAAAATAATTATTATTTAATGAAAAGAGGAAGTTTTGGGAACTGAAGATACTTGTTTTAGAAGAATCCTAATCTGAATTTTTTCGATAAAACTCGAAATATTTATGAGTTTAAGAACCATTACTGAATTTAAGTAATTGAAAGGAAAAAATTAAATAAATAAAATAATTATAGATAATTTAAAAGAAAATTCTTAGAAATAAAAACAAATTAAAGTGTTATAATTAAAATTTATATGAATATTTATTTCCTTTATATAAATAAATAAATTTATTTAATTGAATAAAAAATTAAAAAAGCAAATATAATAAGAACGGGGAATGTTTAATAAAACAAAATTAAATAAATAATAATATATATTAAAAAAATTATTGATACAAATTTTAAATTTTATACCTTAAAATAAAATTAAATATAATATATATAAATACATTGAAATGATGAACTTGTTTCATAATAATATAATTCATATTTAAAATAAATAAAAATAATTATTTAATATTTAAAAAATTATTATATTATAAATAAAGTTTTATTAGAAAATTAATGAATTAATATAAAGGAAAAAAAATTAAATTTTTTATTGAATTCATTATTATAATAGGTTAAAATTTAATCTTCTATTAATTTAAATAAAATTAAAGATAATAATAAATTAAAAAACTTTTTTTAACAAAAAATAATTAAATTAATTTAATTATAATATTTATTTTTATTAATTTTTTTTTATTTATTTATTAATTGCTAATTTAAGTATTATTTTTATTAATTGAAGTAATTATCATATTTTATTTCTTTTATGCTATTTTTTTTTTATAATTAACAATTATTAATATTTTTAAAAATTTAATTAAAACTTTTTTTTTTATTGGATTATTTTGTTGATTTTAATGTTTTCGAATTTAGATAAATAAATTGAAAAAAGTATGTAATGTAAGCTTTTATCTGAAGTAGAAATAAAGTAAATATGCGATAAAGTAAAATAAAATTCGACAAACTGTTTATATTTATATATATATATATATATATTTTAATTAAAATATAAAAATGTTTAGATGAAAGAAATATTAATATTAGAATAAAACTTATAATCAGTATAAGCGCCTGTAATGGTTTGTGGTGATATACATGGTTAATTTTATGACTTATTAGAATTATTTAAAATAGGAGGTTTAGCGCCTGTATTTTTTTTATAAAAAAAATATAAAATAATTATTATGTTATATATATAGGAAACTAATTATTTGTTTTTAGGAGATTATGTTGATAGAGGTAAAAAAATAGATTAAAATAAAAATTTATATAATAAAGGATATCATAGTATAGAGTGTATTACATTATTGTTTTTATTAAAATTAAGATATACAAATAAAATAACTATTTTAAGAGGTAATCATGAAAGCAAATAAATAACTTAAAATTATGGTTTTTATGATGAATGCGTAAGAAAATTTGGGAATTATAATGTTTGGAATTATTTTACGGAATCTTTTCATTTTTTACCAATTACAGCTTTAATTGAAGGACAAGTAAAAAAAAATATATATATTTTCTTTAAAACAAAAAAAAATTAAAGATTTTTTGCTTACATGGAGGACTTTCACCTACTGTAGATAATTTAGATCAAATAAGATAAATTGACAGAATATAAGACATTCCATCAGAAGGGTCTATGTGTGATTTACTTTGGTCAGATCCGGATGATAGAGCAGGTTATTTATATATATATATATATATATATATATATATATATATATATATATATATATATATATATATATATATATATATATATAGTTTATTTTTATTTAATATATATATTTTTTTTATATAATAATAGGATGGGGTATTTCGTCTAGGGGAGCAGGATTTACATTTGGATAAGATATGTCAGAATAGTTTAATTATGTAAATAATACTAAATTAATTGCTAGAGCTCATTAATTAGTTTTGGATGTAATTATTTTTATTATAGATGCTTTAAAAATATTAAAAAAAAAAAAAGGGATATTAATAAACACATGAAAAAAATGTTGTAACTGTTTTTTCAGCTCCTAATTATTGTTATAGATGTGGAAACTAAGCTGCCTATATGGAAATTGATGAATATATGAGAATTACATAGTATAATAAATGTATATAGTTTTTTAAATATTAATTAATTTTTTTTTTTTTTAAATATAATAAAATAAAATATTAATTATAAAAGTATTTAATTTGATGCATCTTAAGAAAATGAAGATACTGTTGTTTTAAATAGAAAAATTCCTGATTATTTTCTTTGAAATTAAAAAATATAAAAAAAATAATATAATAGAAAATAATATACAGTTTATGAAGAGACATTTTTTTTTAGTTACTTTATTTTTTTTAATTTATATAAATGAAAGTATACATACATTTTATATATTTTAAATAGAGATAAAAAAATTATTAATATTAATATATACGTATATATATAATTTATATATTTTTTTTTTATTAAAATTATACCTTGTTTTTTAAAATACTTTTGTTTTTATAGACATTTTTTTTTAAAAAAGATATTGTTTATAAATTTGATTTATTTTTTATAATATTATTATATCATATTTTGTTTTTTTATGTTATATTTGCTTTTTTACTAATTAGAAAATACAAATTATTATAGATAATATTAAATACATAAAAACTTATATAAAAAGCAACGTAAAAAAATTTTTTTTTTGAAAAAAATAAAATAAAATAACTCTATCCAAATCTAAATAAAATATTTTTTTCTTAATAAAAAAATGCGCTATATATATAAAAGAAAAAATAAAAAAATTAAAATTAATAAAATATAAAAATAAAAATAAAAAAATTAAAAAAATAAATAAATAAAAATGTTCTGGGCCTGTACTTTAAAAAAAGGATAAGATTACAAATACGAAGAATAAGACGATAACATATTACTTCATATATCAAACGCTGCTCTTGGTTTAAATGCTACTTCCAATAACTCAACTACAGTATATGCAAAAGTAGAAGGCAAACAAATAGTATTAGCTCACTTATAAAAAGGAAAAGTAGAACACACAGTACTTGATCTTTATTTCAGGGCAGATTAAAAAGTATCTTTTGGTGTATAAGGAGATTCGGAAGTTCATTTAAGTGGATATTTTGAGCCTTCTTATGATAGTGAAATCGAAGAAGAGGAAACTGAAGAAAGTTAGGAAGTTAAAACTAAATAATAATAAGTTAAATCTTAAGAATAAAAAAAACCTATAGTACAAGAATAAAAGTAGGCTTAAGAATAGAAGAAAGTATAATAAGAACAGAAACCTTAAGTATAAGAATAAAAGAAAACTTAAGTAGTAGAATAAAAGAAAACTTAAGTATAATAAGAAGTATAATAAAAACAATAATAAGAAGCCGCTTAAAAAGCTAAAGCTGCCTTAGAAAAGAAAAAATAAGAAGATTCAGATGATGAAGATGATGATGATTTTGAAGATGAAGACTTAGAAGACTTAGAAGATGATGAAGATGAAGATGATGAAGATGATGAAGAGAATGAAATCGAAGATGAAGACGAAGACGAAGATGAAGATGATTTCGATGATCATGTAGAAGATTCTGAATCAGCTGAAAAAGATAAAAATACTGTTTCTAGTTTATTGAAGAGAAAACCTTAAGGGGAGAATGAAGGAGATGAATAAAATAAAAAAGCTAAAAATAATTAAGGTACAGCTGTTAATAAAGCTTAATAAAAACCTTAATAATAATAATAATAAAAACCTTAATAATAATAATAATAAAAACCTTAATAATAATAATAATAAGTATATGAAAAAAAACCTTAATAATAACATTAAAATAAGAACTTCAGTGGTAATAAGAAGTTTGGTGGTAATAACTAAAATAAGAAATTTGGTGATAATTCAAATAAGAAGTTTGGTGATAACTAAAATAAGAAATTTGGTGATCATAAATAAAATCATTAAAATAAAAATGGTGGAAATTGGAAAAATAAAGGATAATAAGGAGGAAATAAAAACAAAAACTTCAATAATAATAAAAAATTTAATAAAAATAGATAATGAAAAAATATTGATTGAATATTTTTTTTTTTATTTAATTTTTTTTTTTTTTTTTTCTAGGTTTATTAAATTTATTTAGTTTATTTTTATTTTTTTAAGTCGTACTAAATAAATATAAGGATTAAAAAAATTTATTATTTATCTTTTTTTTTAATAATGTATATATAAATATAATTAATTAGGCATTATTTATAATTTAAATTATTAAAATGTATTTTATTTTTCTTGATTTTTTAAAAAATAAATCTTATAATTTAAAATATTCAAATTAAATATAAATAATCTTTTATTATAATAGAATTTTTATAATTTATTTAAAAAAATAATAAATAAAAAATAATTAAAGAGAAACAAAAAAATATAATTAATATATATATACTTATCTTAAAAAAATAATAAAAAAATATTAAAAATAAGTAAAATGAAACCAAATATGCAATCAATGCCATTAGGAAATAATAAACCTTCTATAGTAATAATAAGCTATAAAAATAATATTATATTCTAAAATAAAATTGTTTAATTTAATTTATTAGCTTGATAAAGAAACTAAAATAATATTAGATAGTTATGAATAAGAATTTGGATCAGAAGATTCATAAAATAAACCTAAAAAAACTCCTCCAATATTTGTTAGAGGGGGTGTTTAAGCAGCTGATGTATTTTTTTTTTTTAAAAAAATATAAATTTATATATTATTTTTTTGATAAAAAAAAAAGCAAAAAACATTAATTGAAGATAAAGATAAAGGAGCTTATTATACACCTAATATGGTAATTTTTTAATAAATATATTTCGAAAAAAATTATATATAAATAAGCAATACTTTTAATAAACACAAGATGAAATTTTAGAATAAAAATAAGATATTTAAAAATAAAAAAAAGGTAATATAATTAATATATAAATTTATTTTAAAAAAGCTTTAAATATAAATATATGTACATTTATACTTAAAAAAAGATGAAAAGACAAGATATGTAGTCGATGAATTTTTTTGTTTATTAAAATAAAAAAATGATAAACAAGTAAATAATATATATATAATTAATATTTTTTTGTTTTATTTATTTGATTTATTACAAAAGCAATTCTAAAAATAATAATAAACAAATAAAGAAAAAAGCATTCCAATTATAAAATAACTTGAAAAAAGAGATTTATTTAGAGAATCTTTTTATGATACAATGGATAATTTAAAAAGATATTAATCTCATGTTTCTAATGAACACAATAAATAAAACATATGTTTATGTATTTTTTTTTTAAAAGTTTTTTATTTTAATATAAAATATAGAAAATCTAGAATTGTAATAGGATGAAACATTCCTATATTCTGTTTTTAATAAATTTGGGTAAATATAACAAATTAAAAGAAGGGCTATATATTTCCCTGAATAACTTGTAAATTAAAAAAAATATATATATATATATATATATATATATATATAATATTTTTTTTATTAATAAATAATCTTAATGTAGGAAGCTGAAATCATTTGTTATATCAAATACGAGGATTCTAGTTCAGCAAAGAAAGCACTTGAAAGCTTATTATAATAGAGACATTAAATTAAAATGACTGGCAGGTATAAAATTATAAATAATAATATATATAAAAATTTATATATATTTATATAAATATATAATATATATTTATTTATATTTATAAATATATATATAAAATATGTTTTTTTAGATATGGAGAAGAGCCAGAAAGTGAACTTGCTAATCTATATTAAGTAAATTATAAATAATTAAATATTCAAATAATATTTAATTTTATTTTTTAAATAGATGATTTCTTAACAAAATCAATCATCATCGTTTTAGTTTCAATATAGAATATAGTAGCCGGAAATAATATTTTAATAAATATTCCATTAAAAAGGACTGAAAATAAAGAGAAAGAAGAAATGAATATGCAAATATAAAAGAAAAGCATATTCCAATATCATGAATAAGGCCTTGAAAAAATAATTCATTTAGAACCGCCTTAAAATGAATTCATAAGGCAATTGATAGAAAGAACAGCTAAATTAGTTACACAAGTATTTATTATTTTTATTTATCTTATTTATTATTATTTTAAGGAAGGATTTTGGTTCGAAGAAATATTAAAAGAAGCACAAAAGAACAATAGAGAATATTCTTTTATTTTTATAGTTCTAAAAATTAAAAATAAAAATTATATATATATAATTTATTAAAAAAAAAAAAAATTACAAAACAATAATATAAAAAAATAATAAAACTTATAAAAAGAATAATTGCTATGAACATTAATACTATAAATGGAGACTATATTCTTATTCACAAGGAGATGATGACAGATAATGGAATATGGACCCTTTTTTGTTTTCTATAAATGGTCCTATATATTATCCTCCATATACAGAAGAGTTTAAAAAAAATTAAAAAATAAATAAATTAAAAAAGAATATATATCAATAGAAAAAATAAAAATATATATAATATATATATATATATATATATATATATATATATATATATAAATATTATCTATATTTATTTTAATATATTTTTTATAGTTTATAAAAAGAAAGAGAAAAGAAATTATCAAAAAGAATTACTTAAGGTTTATAACCTATTTCTTTTGTTAATAAAGATATTTTAGATACTGCATTATATAATTTAAACACTACTCGAACTTCTATAGCTGAAGCCATGATAATAGTAATGGACTTACATACTAGTTCAGCCGATGTTGTGAATACTTTATATTAATCTATTTATTTTTCTCGATTTAATTGGAATTAATTATTAGCCAAAATTTATTTAGTTTCTGATGTTTTACATAATTCTTCATAGACTTCCAGTAGTTTTTGGTCATATAGGCTTTTTTTAGAATGGACTTTACCTGATATATTTGAAATACTTAATTTTGCTATGAAAAACATAGAAGAAAAAGAAGAAAAAAATATATAGAATACTTTCAAAGAAAGAATATTGAGAATTCTTTAATTATGGAATGATTGGGCAGTTTATGACTCAACTTTTTTATTAGGTCTTGAAGCTTTATTTTTATCTGAGCCTTTACAAAAAATCTAAATGAAATTATAAGATACGTCTACTAGTTTAAATTTTAGATTAAAAGTGTATTTCGAAGGACATGTAGTCTAAATTCCTAAAGATAAATTAGAAAGAGAATGCCATAATCACGGTGTAAGTGCTAGAGGATCTATTAAATAGATGTTTAATAGACTTTTGATTATCGAAAATTATAAATTAATTAAAGAAATGATAAACAATGGGGAAGAAGTACTATAAGGAGGAACTTTGGAGATTGAAGAGGCTAAAGAATAGATTGTAGTTTTTAATAAATAAATTTTAAAAAAAAATGACTTTAGTAATTTCACAATGAGTGATTTGAAACTTTATACAAATATAGGCTTAAAATTATTGAATTTTATTTAAAAAAGGGCTGGTTATTTAAAAGATGGTGATATTGAAGGATAAGACTTGGATAAATTTGATGAACTTTTATATGAAATTAATACAAATAAAAGCGTATTTTAAAGTGTTAAATTTCAAGATGTGAGTGATGAGTAGTATGTAATTTAATATAAAGATGATGAAATTAATGGAGTTTAATTAAGTGAGTAAGAATTAAATGATATAAAATAAGGTGTTTACGAAATTATATCAAAATATGATATTAAGTATTTATTTAGTAATAGTAATAATGATAATATTAATAATAATAATAATTTGAATTAAAATTTAAATAAAAATTAGAAGATATATTAAAATTAAAATAAGTGTGAAAATTAAAGTTAATATTAAAATCCTAATTAAAAAGAAAGTAATATTATTGATATATATTAAAAAAATATTATAGAAAAAGATATATAAAACAAAGACAAAAATATAGATATAAAAGATAATAATAAAAATAATAATAATATATAAAATAAAATAAATAATAGTAATTAAAGTTAATCATAATAATAATAATAATAATAATAATAATATTAATAATAAAAATAATAATAATAATAATAATAATAATAATAATAATAATAATAATATTAATAATAAGTTGATAATAATTAATCTTAATCTAGAAATATTTAATCTTCTGTTGGTTTTAAATCTGGAAATTAAAGAAGAAGATCAAGAAGTTCCTCAAGAGAAAGAAGAAAAAATTATTAGCATAAAAACAGATCAAGAAGTAAATCAAAAGGGAAAAGTCATTCAAAAAATAAAAATTATTAACAGAGTAGTAGTAACTAGAGAAAAAATAAAAGGTCTTATTCAAGTTCATCATCTTCATCAAATTCATCATCATCATCAAGATCGAAATCCAGAGATAAGGTTTATTTACATATTTTTTAAATATATATTTAATTTTTTATTAGAAGAGAAGAATTGAAAAAAAGAGATATTGATAAAAATTATTTTTTTTATTTTTTTTATGTATTTGTTATTTATTTTTTTTAATTAAAATTATATCATATTTTTACTTTATTTTTTAACATTAATATTATTTATTTTATTATAAAATAGAAATAATATTAATTTTATTCAATTATTGCAAAAAAAAATGTTATTATAATTAATAAAATTTACTTATATTTAATTTTTTTTAACTAGAAATTATTTGATTTTTATACTATTAATTAAATAGTAAAATTTTTCTTAAATTTAATTCAAAAAAAAATAAAAAAAATAAAAATATAAATGGATCAAATGTATATTTTCTAAAAATAAAAGTATTAATAAATAATATATTGTACTATTTTATTTCAAAAACATCTTTAAAATATATTTCAAACACATTTTTTATTTTTATTTTTAGAAAAACTCTTAAATATTCATTTTTTTTTTGTTATTTTTTTTTTTTTTTTTTTGTGTAAATGAAATAAAAAAAAAAACAAAGTAAAAAAAATATTAAAATAAATAAAAAATAATCAATGTAATATAGTTTATTAAAAAATAAATCATAATCATTATATTCTTAATCAATGTAAGGAACGACAATAAATCCCTTACCCTAAAAATCTTTTATACGAATACGTCCCAAAACAGCCTAATCTTATAAAAAAGTAATTAGTTTTTACAAAAATACAAATTTATATAAAGTTGAGGATGATATTTTTTTTAATTCAAATAATAAAGTATAGTAAAAAATGCCTAAATATATGAACTTATCTAAGGCTTAATCTGCTCATATATTAAGGAATAATTCTAATATGACTTTTACATAAAATAATAGCTAAAATATTTAAAAAAATTCGAGTATAAATTAAAAATTTTTAAATACAAAATAATTAAGGTATAACTTTAGTATTTATTAAAGCTTAAAAGATAATATTTAGCCCAAAAACATATAAAAATACATCAACAATGTTTCTCATATAAAAAGTTTATCTATATTTGATAATTACGAAAAAAATAAGCTTATGCATAATCTATCTTAGAAAGAAAAAATTCTAAAAGAAAAATTAAAAAGTAAATTAAACATAATAACAGAAAAAAGATTATAAAAAGAAAGACAAGAAAGAAACAAATACTATGAAAAATTATAAAAATAATAATATAAAATAAATATATAAGAACTAGAAAAAGATAAATAAATTTTAAATGATTATGCAGTTAAAGGACTTAATAATTTCATGAGTTAAATTGATTTGTATAATTTATATTTTTGTGGAAGAATTGTTGAGAGTGAATAAATATCTAAAAGCTTACTAAAAGTATGTAATTTTCATTTATTATTTAAAAATAATCAGGAGATTATGTAGAAATTATAAGAGAATAATATTTAATAATAAAAGGGAATTAATAAAATTTAAATTCCAAAAAATATTTCAATAAAGCTATAAGTTAATAGAAATAAAGAAAACAAAATTCTTAAAGAATTTATTAAAAATTAAAATGATGATTTAACAAAGAAAATAGATACTAAATTATAAGAAGGGATCTAATTTATGCAAAGTAAAATTATTTATCCGGAATTCTATTAGAAATTAAATATTAATATTAATTAAATTAAAAACTATTTAAATAAAAATAATTCGAAAAATGAACTTTTATTTTTAGGTTTGTTAGAATAAATAATATATAGGTTATTTAACAGATTTTAAAAAAATAACCTTTATTAATAAATTGTATTGATAAAGTATATTTATATTATTTTTTATTTTTATTTTTTTAATATATTAGTATAAATAATCAGCTTTACATTGGGCGGCTAAAAGAAATTTTATTAGTTTAGTAGAACTTCTATTAAAAAATAATATAAATAAAAATTTAATAGATTATAGGGGAAAAACTGCTTTAGATATAGCTAAAGAATTATAAAGTATATAAATTATAAATTTACTAAAATGAAAGTCTATTTTTTATTTTGTTATACGAATTGGGAGATTATTAATCAAATAAAATAATTTATTAAAGTTTTATATTATTATTAATATAAAATTGATATATTTATATTATATATAAATAATTTTAATATTAAAAATATAATAATATTAATATATTTTTTATTATATTTTTAAGATTTTCGTTATTTATTTAAATAATTATAATAAATTATTAAAATAGAAACAATTTTATAAAAATTAAAGAAAATTAAAAAAAATTAATAATTATTATAATTTAAAATAAAATATAAAATAATATTTAATATCTTACGATAATATAAATTCAAAGATATTAATTAATTTTTTTGTTAATAAATAATAATAGAATGATATAATAAAGGATATATTATAAAACAAATAATAAAAAATTATTATTAAATAAAAATGCTTTTTAAATTGTTTTGAAAATATATAAAGAAAATTAATTATATTTAAATTTACAAAATATTCTATTGTTAAAAATAGAAAAATGATAATATAACGAATATTTTTAAATGTTTATATTAATATGAAATAAATATTATTAGA